CAGAAGATAACAACAACAATTACAGCACAAACATAAACAACAACATTATCATCAACAACATTAATGTCATCAACAGCTATATCAGTAACAGCAATGCGTGTAATATTATTGACAATAACAACATTAACACTACCAACGCCAATGTCAGAAACACAAATATTCCTACTAAATGCGTAATAATAACAAAGAAAAGAAAAAATACGACGAAGTTTGACTCGGAAAGTTTTGATACAACAGACAGTGCTGCGCAAAACAACGACAAACCCGATGAACACTGTAACAACAACAGCGCAAATATTGACGACGAAAACGATAGCTACAAACCAAACTCAAAGAATTACCACCGCACCACTGACGACAACATAGACAACAACAGCAACATAATCAACAACTACATAGACAACTACAACAGCATAGATAACAACAGCAACACAGTTAACAACAACAACCTAGTCAAAGACATCAACATAGTCAAAGACATCAACATATTCAAAGACATAAACTTAAGTAACGATAATAGCATAGACAACAATAATAACGTAGTCAACATCAATAACATAGACAACAATAGCAGCCTAGATAACATTAACATCATTGACAAGAACATAAGCAACATAGACAACAGCAACAGCAATACAGACAGCAACAGTTGCAGAGACAGCAAAAACAACATAGATAAGAACAACATATTCAACAGCAACATAGACAACAACAGCAACATATTCACCAGCAACATAGACAACAGCAGCAACATATTCAACAACAGCAACATATGCAACAGCAGCAACAAACACAACAGCGATAACAACACTATTGACAACTTTCAAAACAACAACTTGAATAAAACTAACGAAAGCATTGTTGAAAACGACAGCAACGATATTATAAAGAACAACATCATCTCAAAATCATGCGCTCAACAAGATGAAATAGATGAAAGTGAGGCAACTATTGAACACGCCCCTCATGAAAAATTAATTAGGCATTCGACTCCTGAAGAAAATAAAACTGAAGAAGTTAATTTATGCTTTTATGACAAAGTCTTGAATGATTGCAACCACTGCAGACAAGGAATTTTCAGCAACAGTGAAGCAATAAAAACAGCATCGAGCAATCCAATCGAACAAACTGATTTGGAAATTATTTCCAACGATCTAACGGTGGACAACTCTTTTGTGGTCTCTGATCAAGATGATCACACTGACAATTTAACGCAAGTCACACACAACAGCGATAATAATAATAATAATAATAATAATAATAACAACAACAATAATAATAATAATAATAACAACAACAACAACAACAACAACAATAATAATAATAATAATATAGGAAGTGATATAGAAAATCCCGAAAAGTTTTATAAAACTGAACTGATTGACTCATCCGACTACCTGGTATTTTGTGACAACAACGAAATAATTGAAGAAAATATTCCAAGTCCATCGCCATCTCCGAAAAGATCAACCACACTTTTGAGATCGTCGTCATCATCGTCGACATCATCGTCGTCATCATCCTCCTCCTTGTCATCACTTTCAAAGTCTCCTCCACCAATTCTTTTTGAGTTGAAAGCAATCACAACTGCCGAGACAACATTCACGGCTAACACGGTTACGGCAGCAACAATCACAACAACAACAACAGCAACAACAACAATAACAACATCACTAACAACAACAACAACATCAGTAATAACAACAACTAATGCAACCGCATCAGCAATCATCACACCGGCGCTAACTTCAGTAGCAGCTACTTCGACAACATCAGCAAACGCAGCATCAGCAGCAATAACAACTACATCGACAACATCCTCCAGCTCAACATCGACAACTACAGATCCTTTTTCTAACCTAAGAATATTTTCAACAGCAAAAGTACTTGCATCACAAGAAAGAGTTACAGAGAGAGCATCGTCATCATTAGAAGCATCACCACCGCCACAATCATCATCAATTACTTTGCCACAAACGTCATCGCCACATACGGAAGCGGCTTCAGCTACTACTCTTGAAAAATCAACGCTTAACGAATTCACGAAAACAGCAGCCATAGGAATCACATCAACAAAAAGCATTTCTGATTCCAATTGCGGTGACAATAATGTCAGCATAGATAACCGCAACCAAATTAGCAAAAACTTGAACAACGACAGCAATATAAACAACGACGACGACAACAATATTGTTAGCGCAAACGCTAGCAACAACAGCCAAAACGAGAGCGGCATTTTTTCGTTTCAACCCAATTTCTTAAGCACAATTCAAAAAAAGCTTTGCAAGTCATTTCGATCATCATCGTCATCGTCATCCTCACCAACACCTCCACCACTAACGTCATCATCTTCATCTTCTTCATCTAAATCTCCCTCACCTCCCAAACACCAAATTTTAAAATCATCTTCATCTTCATCGTCGTCATCATCATCATCAAGCAGCAGCAGTCGCAGCAGCAGCTCTAGGGTTAGTAATAATAGTAGCAGGAGGAATAGCCGGAAAGAAGAAGTTTTATTAGATACATTGAATAAACTTGAAACCAACAACAACAACAACAATAGTACTGTTTTTGACGGAGAAAACGACTCAAATAGCGTTTTTCTTTGCAAGGACACCTCGAAAAATAATGTAGTTGATGTTGAATCGGTGAATACTTTACCAACAACAACTTCAACCGCGTCAAAGCTATCGTTATCGAAATCGTCTGAATCAACGCTATCAGCTTCAAGCACATTACCGACACCGGCCTCCCGAACAACTTCACTGACCACATCATCATTAACAGCAGCACCTGCGGCTTTGTCAACAAAAAGGGAATCTACAAAAACTTGTCAACAGAACCAACTTACAACAACACAACCAACATCGTCGTTGTTGTCATTTAGACACAGCCAAAATAAATATCAACCCAGCAAAAATAAAGATTTAAAAGAAGACACCGTTCCTTTGTTGTCAATAAAAGAGCGAAAAGCTTCATCTTCGTCCTCTTCTTCTTCTTCATCACCTTCTTCTTCGTCATCTTCATCAAGTTCCTCTTCGTCATCATCATCCTCTTCTCCATCTCCAACAAAAGAAACAAAACAGGAAATTGTCGACAAAATCAATTCAACGTCGAAGTTAGATGCTATTGAAATTGGTTCATCTACAAACATCTGTGATACGATCATTAAACAAGAAGATCATAAATTACAAATTGATCAATCAAACAAATCAGTTGAATATTCGCAAACAGCTGATAAAATAAGAAGCGGTGAAGAAGCTGTGGGCATTAAAGAAACAAACGCAGAATCAAAAATCGAAAATTCAGAGCAAGAATCAACAGAATCAATTAAACCTGCCGAAGACGATATGGGCACACGCAACTACAACACAACAACCACTCCAGCCAATGACCATCTGAGCGGCCTAACAACGAAACATCTTCTTATGGACTATTTGCATAGTTCGGATATTTTTGACAAATCTTACGCACTTGGTTCAAAGTCACTAAAGAGTTATGTTCCATCAAGTCTCATGAGGAATGAGGCTAGCAAAAGTACCACCAGCAGTCTGTACGGCGGTGCAACTAGTGGAGGGTTAACTTCAAGTTCGTTATACAATACAGCTGCTGCTATTAATAGCAGTGCACTTGCAAACAAGGACTACAATCCAACAAAAATCAATGGATACGGCAGCAGCAACTCATCTACAACCAGCATGACTTCGTTAGCTACCACTACAGCTTCCAGCAATGCGTCAACCAGTTCAGTCAATACAACGTCGGCAATGACCATGTCAACTTACAAATCTGGTTACGTGAAATACGCTGACAGACAAAAAAATTTGCTGAAGATGAACGATGGACCTTCCAGCGATGAGGGACAGGTTGAGTTCATCTCTCTCTTATCTACACATGCACACATCAACACACACTGACAGACACAAACATACAAATATTATAAAGCATCTTTACAAATATTATAAAGCATATTTACAAATACCCACAAAGCACGTTTTAGAAAAATATAAAAACGTATATGTTAATTGTATTTATATATGTATATATATATATTTAATTTTTCGATTTTTCTAAGGGTAGATCCTTAATCATTCTCAAGTTTCTTGAGTTCAAAACAAAAAGTTTTATTTATTTTAAGCATGATAGAAAAGAAAAACTTTTTTCGGTATTTCTATAGCATCTTCGGTGTTTGAGTTGATACGTTATGTATGTGGCCTGATGCTCAAGTATATATAAGTATACCGTGTCTCTATAATGTCTTTAAAGAGGAATCATCAATAATAATGACACGTAAAAGTGTCATGTTGTACAAAATTGAAAATCATAATGAATTTTCATAAAATTATTATCGTAAAATTAAATTATATAATTCATTAAAAAGAAAACAAAGAAGTAATATTGTATATATTTATATACTTGAGCGTATGGCTACATACACAACATATCAAATCGAACACCGATGATGGAATAAGAATACCGAAAAAAGCTTAAAAGCTTTTTTGTTCTATAATGTCTATAATGTTTAAAATTAATAAAATTTTTAGTTTTGAACTCCAGAAACTTTACAATGATTTACGATCTACCGTAAGAAAAATTAAATTGAAAGCTAACTAACGCGGAACATGCTGTGATTTTCATCAATAATTGCATTTCTGTCAGTCATATATATATATATATACATATATATATATATATACATATATATATATATATATCACTTTTTTAATTACAAATTCAAAAGCACTTATACAGAAATAGAAATGATTGTTATATGATAGAAATGATACATATCGAAAATGATATATCTCTGTGATCTCTGTGTGGTAATTTATGATTGCAATTTTTAATCTTTCTTGTACTGTCCACAGAAAAGTAACGACTCGTCCTCCTCGCTATCCCAGTCGAACACGAAACTTCGTGAAACTTCTCCATCGCGCAGCATTGGACAACAGCCCTCAAGAAAGGAGAACGAAAAGCTGGAGAAACCAGTCAGTGACAAGTCAAAGTTGCCAGTAATTGAAGATGATTCACAAGGACATTTGGTGTACAAGGAAGGGAGTGTCGTCGGAGGACGGTGTAAGAGCTTCAGTTCAACATTTCATCTGTTTTGTTTTCATGGCATGCATTGCTGGCAGTTGTGGCTGTACATTTGTTCTGTTTCCGTTCTAATTTCAGGCTTACTTTACATCAAATTTCTCTTTTTATGGTTTATTCATATCAAAAATAGTGATAATTTACAACATAAAATTATTGAAAACTAACTATTTTTGTTTAAATTAGATCAAATTTTAAGAACAGTCGGGGAAGGGACATTTGGAAAAGTTGCAGAATGCTTGGATCTCAAGTAAGATTTGAAACAATTTATTTTAATTTAATTTTAAACAAAACCACAAATTATTATCATCTAGCTTTATTTCCACGCGCACCTTTTTAGATTTTTTTGTTAAATCAGCCTACGTTTCTCATAATTATAGCGCGGTTATAAAGACGATTGCGTCTCTTAAGTTATAGCAACTAGTACGACATTTTCACCGATACTTTATAGGACACGTTCAAAATAAGAAAGAATGTAATTGCTTGATTCATTCATTAAAGTGAATAAATGTGTAAATATTAAACAATCATTGTCTGCCAGCAAATACGATTTGGACGAATAAATCGTAATAACGTTTGCTAACAAATTTAATTAGTTGGCAACCTTCAATTAACGCCGAAAAATGTTTGAAGATTCAGAAAAGAGAATGTCTTAACCGTTAAATGATGTAATAATATTTAATGTTTTAAAGTGATAGACCAAGAGCAAACAGAAGTAAACATAGTAAAAATAATTCTGCGTAATATGGGCACTTGATATCATGACTTTTATTGTAAAATACGACTAAAAATGTTTAGAACTCAATAAAAATATAAGTATTTGTTGGAAAGTTTGATAACTAAATTAGAGGCATAAAAATTAGGCATGAAAAATATGCTAATTTTCTGACAGTTTTTAATTTTTAAAAACAGTTTTCTTGGTGCAAATTGATCTTGTTAATATAATGTTATAAATTTACTAGCTTGAATAGTTGTAGTTGTTGCAGGCCGCCAAAGTTTTGAATGCATGATTCAAGCAATAAAGAAGGAAGGATAGGCAGTTTTTATAAATAGCAGATTAGTACTACTGATATCAGAAATATAGAAAAAAAAACAAATAATTTTGTTTACGCCATTTGAGAAAAGATTAACTACCAATTTTTTAACCGGGTTGAGTCATTTTTTGGCATTTCTTACCGAGAAATTTAGCTCTAAATTTGCTATTAATTTATAAATTAGGGTTTAAAACACTCTACAGGCAAGGTTAGTTATATTTTTGCCGTTTTGCCTTTACCATATTTCAATCTAAAGTTGAGAGACAGTCAAACAACACTTTTCGGTTTTTTTATGTCCTATGTTGTCGTGTTGGTAATAGAGCAATCACGTTTGCGTATAAAAAATTCATAAAACCCGGCGGATTTTGCTGTTTGGGGATTTTGTTTGTGCGGTTTGGTTACAAAACCGCTCGCACAATTAAATAAGAGAAAATGTGATCGAGCATTTTATTTTGAAGTTTCACCATTTATAAATTTGAATCCAATATTTTATAGTCAAAAAACAATCATCAACTGATATTGTAATTTTCGAAGAAATACATAATAATAGGAATAAAGATATCCATCCCTTATAGAATACATTATTTAAAGGAACGCATAACTAACTGCTGGTTCATGTTAAAATTGTTATTAAAGTTAGCTAAATTGTTTTGTGATGGAAAAAAAGTTTAGGAAGCAATTTTATTCTATTTAAAATCTCTTTTTTATATACCAAATACGGCTTCGTTGAATTTGAATTTTTTGTTTGCCTTACAGAGCGAGAATTCGGGTTGCTTTGAAAATCATAAAAAATGTGGACAGATATCGGGAATCTGCCAAACTAGAGGTCAACGTACTACAAACAATTAAAGACCATGATCCAGAGGGGACAAGGTACATTGATTAAAATTCTTTTTTTGGTAGCATTCTTTTGTAATTTTACTACAATTTAACGTTTCACAGCTTATGCGTTATGGTACTGGACAGTTTTTTGTATGGGGGACATGTTTGCATATCGTTTCCCATGTTGGGATTAAGTGTCTATGATTTTTTAGTGAGTTTTTAAAACTTAATCAAGTATTATTAATATATTGAAATTTTAATTTGTGAATTTATCAGAAAGACAACGGATACCAACCATATCCAATGGACCAAGTGAAACATATCTCGTATCAACTTTGTGTTGCAGTCAAATGTAATTAATTTTAAACTTTATATTGTTTATAAATGTTAAATTTGTTGCAAATTTTTCCCAGTTCTTCACGAGTTGAAGTTGACCCATACTGATTTAAAACCTGAAAATATACTTTTTGTTTGCTCTGATTATGAAATTGTACCAGGTCAATCAAACTCGAAAAGAAGAAAAGTTTGTTGATTTTATTTTCAGAGCTTTCAAATTTATTCACTTGAAATTAAAATTGCAGAAACTCGATTATAAAAGAGTTCTAAACACTGATATTCGATTGATCGATTTCGGTTCAGCGACATTTGATGATGAGCACCACAGTTCCGTGATCTCAACGCGTCATTACAGAGCCCCTGAAGTTTTGTTAGGTTGTTCGTTATTTTATAATATGATCTTTAAAAAGTTTTAAATTGTTTAAATTTTACTTTTTTTCATACTTTTACAGTTCAAAATTTTTGACAAAAGTTAGGTAAAATTTTATACTATTGGTAAAACAAATTTTTTAGCATATTAAACAACCGCATTTACTAGAAACAAAAGTAAAAATTATTTCTTATTCGATATCACGGAAATGAATAAAGTTTCAAATTACAATGGCAGCAAAATACTTTTCCCATTATAAACTTTACTTGGAATGGAAGTATGAATGCCACTGAAGTCACATTTATTAGAGACATGTCTATATGACCTTACAAAATATTTCCATGAGCGCTAACGAAACAAGTTTAGTGTGAAATTCGAAACATAGCATATTTGAAATCGAACATTGACCGTGGAGCGCATCATATTCCTTTCAGTGAAATGCCTGTTAAGCGCGACGAGCTCAAATCAGTTCGCCTAACGTACATCAGAAAAAAGATACTAAATACGCATAATTATTATGCAAATGCATGAAACAAATCAATTACAAAATAATTAAAATGAATAAAATTAAAAAAAAGATTAAATATTTATTAATAGACTATAAAAATGAAAAAATTGTAAAATTTGATGAGTTTGATGAATAATTGTTTGTGGAAACTAAAGAGTGAGATCAGACTCTAAAAATGTGCGAGGGTGCTATCGAGGGCCAGTATAGGTATTATTATATGATACCTTGTAGCGAGTTTTTATTTCATGTGCTCATTGATGGTTTTTGCGAATAATAAAATTATAGCAAACGTAGCCTACTGTGCCAACGGTGTTCTCGCTTTCAATGAAACTTGCAATGGAAAGATTGCAATTTTTATTAAAACCATGGTATTTTATACTGGTATTGCCCAAAGCATGTCGATCTCGATTTTTTTATTTTAATTTGTACCTGGGAGCTCAGCCGTTCATTTGAATGAACCACTGTCTGGATGCGAAAGAAATAAAACGAAATAAAGATAGCACCAAAGTCGCCACTCTTTTCCTGGTGTTGCCGCATCGGATTCTTCTTTCTACCAACTTTACTAAAAACAAGGGAAGCATTATTATTGAGGCTTGAATGATTGAGTCATGTAGTACTTCCTTCCAATTCCTGTGCCTAGTTCGACGGTGTCAACATTTTTCATAAAAAGATCTAAATCAGATTAAAACAGAGGGAATGTCTGTCAAGCATGACGATCTCAAATCAGCTCGGTTATACGTAACTAGAAAAAGATACAAATACGCAAAATACTATGCAAATGCATGAAATATATCAATTAAAACATAATTAAAATAAATAAAAATTTTTAAAAATTAATAAATATTTATTAATAAACTATAAAAATGTAAAAATTGTAAAATTTGATGAGTCTGATGAATAATGGAAACAATGGAATGAAAATGCAGCTGCATATAAAAGGTCTTGTAACTATCATTATATACTTTGTTAACTCTTTTTAATTAAATGGTATGAGTTTTTTATCTAGAAGTAAAAAAAAAAACAAAAATTAATCAAAATTTCAATTCATTTTGCTATGGTTACATAACATAAAACCTTTGTATGTAGCTAATTCATTTTTTAATTTATTACATTCATTCATAAGTTTTCTTATTGTTGTCTGCAGCATTGTGATTCTGGACTTGTAATACTTTGATTGCCTTTGCTGTTGCTTGATGAGATGTGCATCCATTGAGCAAAACGTCTAAATATGATTTAAATTTGAAAGTAAATAGCTGCATTTAAAAATTTTCATCATATATATATATATATATATATATATATATATATATATATATATATACCCAATGAAACTCTTTGTAGTATTCTGTATTTCTTATGACAAAAAGAATTAGCAGCAAAAAAACGTTTACAAGAATGCCGCCGGTGGCACATTAACAGGGAAGAAGCTAAATATAGATTGGAAAACTGAAAAACCCATTGACAATTTGGTGCTAAAAAAGTTTGCTTCCAAGTTTCTTGACCTTGAGAAGGTCAACACTATAAAGCCATTCTTATATATAATTCAATGATGGAAACTAAAGAATAAGACTGGATTTTAAAGCGCACTGAAAATGTGCGCGGGTGCGTTTGAGGGCCAGTATAGGTATATTTTAAGTATATGGATTAAAACGCATTGTCCAAGTTAATCAAAATTTTTAGAGAAATGTATAAAAATTTGACGTCTTGCAGATATAGGGTGGACTCAGCCATGCGATATATGGAGCATTGGATGCATAATATTCGAACTCTACACAGGATTCACTCTATTTCAAGTTGGTCATTACATTGCTTTGGCTAAAATATTTAACAATAAAATATATTTTTTTTCCTGTTTTTTTTTTTTTTTTTTTTTTTTTGTTAAAGACGCACGAGGATAAAGAGCATCTAGCGATGATGGAACGCATTCTTGGCTCCATACCTTATCGCATGTCAAAACGTTCCAAGTTTGTTTCTCATTTAACAAATTAACAAAAATTAAAAATAAACATTATTTTAATGCTCAGTCAAAATTATAACCACCCTACTTTAATTTTCGTCAGGACCGAATATTTTTGGCATGGACGACTGGACTGGGATTACCACAGCTTGGCTGGCAAGTACGTTCGAGAAACGTGCAGACCACTTTATGTTAGTTATTTATTGGTCTACTTAGAGATTAAACATTAGTTCCTTTTGTCGTTCTTTATTGTTTGCGATTATGAACTAGTTGTTACAAATTCTATTGATTTGTTTCAAGCTGTTATAAACTTTCCGGAAGCAATAGCAGCGTTGACACCGTGCAACTACCACAGCTGGTTGTATAAACCTATAGCATAACGCAAATGCCTCCAGATTAAATTTTTCTTGTAATCAATTTCCCGCTGTTATTAATTACCATTATTTACCCCTTTCACGTTTATTTACGCAATTTTTATATTTTAGTTGGGCTACGATTAATCAAAAATGTATTGTTATAATAAATGCAGCGTTACATACAAGGCGATAGTGATAGCGATCGTCAGCTGTTTGATCTGGTCGAGAGAATGCTTGAATACGAGCCAGCACAACGGATGCCGCTTGAAGACGTCATCAGGCATTCTTTCTTTGCTCAAACGAGAAAACAATTCAATCAAAAACAACAAAATGGAGAAACGTGATCACTGTTATTAAAAAACTACCATTTGAACGTTTGCGATGTTATGTAAAATAAAATTGTCGAACGTTAAAGAATGAGCTTAATTATTTTACTGTTTATCTATTTTTATTTATTTATTTATTACATTGTAAAGTGCCTTAGACTATCCATGTTATGTTTTTTTCTACAAAAATTGATAATTTGATAGCAAATCAAACTTCGAAAATTTAATTACATTACTACTGGGTATAATTTCAGTCAAATAAACGTTGTAAAGGGCCTTAAAATGATCCATTTTAGGTTTTGTTTTTATAAAATAAAAATTAAATCATCATAACCAAATTTATAGCAAATCTAAAGAATGCAAAAATTCGATTTTTAATAGAAAAAATTAAATATATTACAAAGTATGATAATAATTTCAATCAAATAAAAAGTAGAAATCATGGTTCAATCATATATCTAGGCATAAATTCTGGTTTCATGTACTTCTTCATGTCTTCTTCTGTTAACCATTCATTAAAATACAAATACTTAATTGTCTCTGTTATTAACTTGCTGACAGTTGAAGATGATTCAACTAGGGGATGTTTGGAAGCTATGTATAAAAACTGTGATTTTAGCAAACTATATCTAATCTTTGATAGAACAGTATCTATTATGTGAGGTTCATTCCTGCAGGAGTCAGCATTCAACCAGGAAATGGCAGCTTTGAATAAAATATACTCATCATAACAAAACTGACTGTCTGACAGCATTTCTATAACTATATCATAGCTCAAATCATTCCAACAATCTTCAAATTTCCCCCTGATTAATTGATTACCTATTCTTGCTTCTAAATTGATCAAAGCTGTTTGATGCATATTTTTCGTTTGACAAAACTCCAGTAATTTTAAAACGGTCGAAACAGGAAATGTCTCACTTGGAACAATGTGTGATTTGCAAGCCATAGAATTTATGTTGAAATTACTACAATGACTTGAATTGTCAAAACTTTCTTCATTATTAATATTACTACAGTTACTTTTGTTAAAAACATCATCATCAGCAAATGTAAGATCTGGAGATTTGCTATTTGAATAGACTGGAAATGGCTCACATTCAGTTTTCAGTCTTTTAGGACATATTGAGAAGCAGTCATCTTTATGCACAACAAAAACTTTAAGTCCAATTTCAATTATCTTGGAGCATTCATCGATCAGAGAGCCTACGTTATATTTATCAGCTAATAAAAAAAGAGGAACAACATTGTTATTGTTGATGTTGACTTTACCTGAATATATAAAATACAAAAAGCTTTGAAAATGTTTGGCGCAGTCAGCATCTTCTCGCAGAATGATGGTTTTGTTCTCCCGATATTCCACCCAGTTGCCACTGAGCATGCTTGCAAACACGTCACTTGCAGCTGACAAAATGTTTTTGTGGCCAAAAAAGGTAACATCATTAACCAGCAACTCGACATCACTGAGCTCCGGTTTATTGAATATAGCGGCAGCAGCGGGCGTCGTAGTGAAACAATATTTCTGGACTCCAGTGTCCCGTAGCAAGGGCCTCAACACAACAGATGGATTTATTAAGTCCGGTTTGGAATATTCCATCGAAAGTTAAAGATTAAAAACAAGTTTGTCAAATTATTTAACTTTATTTATAAAGATATTTACGGATACAATCACTATCATGTATGACTGCAAATTAGGATAAAACAAAATAATAAATTTGTAGTAAACAAAAGAACTAAAGTGGAAATTATGTAACAAGTTTCAACTGCGGGACCAAAAAGCATGGATATCAGAGCAAAATATTCTAAGTATGTCATAAAATAGACTCCATGGAATACCGCTGTACATCAATTATTGTTATATTATAATTTTAACTATTATATATATATATATAATGCGCATATAACTATTTAAAAGTTGAGTTCAATAAATCAAGTCAAGCGTTGTTTTTTGTCAGTTATTCAATGAAAATTTTTTGAATTATTCAAATTTTTGAATTTTAAGGATAAAATGAAAACCCAGGACGAAACTGAATTTAAAATTTGATGCAAAAATCTGTCCCTGCGTAGAATATAATGCGTGACGTACAATGCTGCTCTTTCCAATAAAATTTGTGTGCAGTTTGACAGTGTGCAGTACAGAACCAGAGTATAGAGATTGAAAAAATCGATGTCTAAAACAATATTTAACAATGTGGAATAATTTATCCTCCATATTTTCAAAAAGAATGCGTTGAAAACCTTCGATGAGTTGCAATAAAATTTAAAAGAAATGGAACAGCTGATGCATCCTATCCAATCTAGCCTTTACCTTCAGTAGCTATAGCTACAAAACAGATGATTAGCAACAAATAGTTTGGCAGTTTTGTGATGGATAAGCATGTTTTTTGCGTATAAAATTTATAGTGTATGGAAATTATTATTGATTTGATCCCAAGGACGTCCTGCGCAAGCCATTCGAATGTTCAATAAAAAATAAAAACTATTGCGTCATTCTTCGTTTTGTTTTTCTTGAGATGTTGTTATTAATTAGTACTATTCAGTAACTTGAAATACATAGGACCTAGTTGTTAAAAAAACCGGGTTGTAATGTCAACGCTGTTTGTCAACAACACCTCATCATTTCATCAACAGTGAAACGTACTCAAAAATTATGCTGTGACATGAATGACACCTATGCAGTTGTGTGCCTCTCTCATTAATTTCATGATGAAATGCCTCTTCGAATGCACTTTCCAAATTAATGAAGACGAAACAAGGACAGGTACAAAAAGACAGAGATGGGCAGTAATGTAATTCAAATTACAATTGTAATCTGTATCGAAATTAATTTTTAAGTAATTGGTAATTCAGTAATTTCATCTTTCATGTAATGTAATTTGGCAATTTCAAAGTAATTTCAAATTACATTTTGACTAAAAAATACAGTTTATATATGAGTGAACAGATATACTTACACAAATTATTATTATTGAACAATTTTTCTTTTCTTGAAATTCTAAAATTTTTTTTAAATTCTAAAAATTTATTTGATTAAAAATTTCATTTGCTACTTTGAAGTTTTATGGTCATATAGCTACATCAAAGAAGTTTACTTCTTTGATGTTTGACGCTTCTTTTTTTCTTTCTTCCATTCTTTCTATCCTTTCTTCAGTCGTTCATTAAACGATTGAACAAAGTGTTGATCGAAAGAATGTAAATTAATAGAAGAATATGAAAATGACATCAAAGAATATGCAAAATCAAAAGTAGTGGTGAATTTTTTTTCTTTCTTCAGTCATTCGTTAAATGATTGAACAAATTGTTGATAGAAAGAAAGTAACTTAATAAATGAATATAAAAATGACATAAAAGAATATCAGCGCAAAGAAAAATCAACGTCTAAATAACTTCAGAGAAAATTTTTTTCTTCATTTATTCAAAACTGGTTTGATGTAATTTAATTTCATGTAATTTGAAATAAGTAATTTGTAATTAGTAATTTGGCTCTTTTATTAAATTTAATTTGTATTGGGATCGAAATTACAATATTTAGAGTATTTTGTAATTTGTATCGAAATTACAATATAGTGTGTAATTTGCCCATCTCTGCAAAAGGCTATCCGGCGTTCATTAAATCAAGAAAAACTGCGGCATTCTGTATCAACGTTTTTGACTATTACTTCCTGTTATATATCTGTTATAACTCTAACAAACCTTTCAAGGCGTTTTCAAAAATTTGTATGATAACAATTGAATAAAACTAGCCTAATTTAAATTAAATAAATCCACTATGTCAACTAACTCAACAAATGATAAAATTGCTGGCCAGCTATTTGACCACAGCAACAAATCTTTGAAGGATGGATCCAAATTTGATATTCCACAATATCCAGTTGAACTAATTCAACAAAAAAAATTATTTCAACAATCTTTAAAAAACGAGTAAGTGCCAATTTTGAAAAAATTCAACTCTGATTATTTATTTAGTTACAAATAAATGAATAAAAATAAAATAAATAATTGTATAAATAAAATAAAATAAATTGAATATATATTATATATATATGTTACTTTTAGCAAAAGTGAAGGAAAACATTTGCAAATGAATAAAAATGAGATGAGTTACATAGACAATAGTAAACTGTTAGCCACCAAATCAAAACATCTCCTTGACATTGGAAGAATTCCCAGTTACCAAAGGCTGCAAATAAGTGGAGAAGATATCAGTGGAGTAAGTTTTTTAAAATTTTCAGCTTCAGAAAATTGACTAACTGTTGGTGGTTCATCATTAAAAGGTTTGTTTGAATGACTTGAAAATGGCATCAGAGACATTAATAAATGCCTTGCTAATAAGAAGAAAATATATGAGCATATCATCTCAGCCATTTCCAAACATTCCTTTGAAAATCATTGATAAATTCACTTCGAATCGATCATCATCACCTGTTTTATTCAAATGTGAAGATGAAAACTGTGATCATGCAGATTATTGTTGTGGTTAGCTTAGATGAGTTTTGTTATTTGAAATACTAAATGTTATAGCAAAAACTATTTATAAAAAATAAAATCAGAAGAGAATAAAGAAAATGATTTTAATGATGACGATGACGAAGATGAAGAGATCCGAACCAATACAGAATTATTCATAAAAAATCCATTTTTATTTGATGGAGCTAAAGCTAAGGATACAAAGTATAGGTTGACCATGAAGAATGGGGTTGTCAATGTCATGTCTATAGAAAATGATACGAGCTTGTACTCATGCCCCAGTGTTGAGGAATACATTAAAGACCAAAATATTTTACTTCAAATAATATCAGATGGTCCTTTGTTAGTATACAAACACATTAACATCATATAAATATGCATTCAATGCAAAATTTCAGGAAGTCATTTTGTTATCGCCGACTGATGTACCTTTCGTCCCGTTACCAACTGCACACCCTTCTTAACGAGCTGCATGAGATGGCTGCACAGAAGCAAGTACCACACCGAGATTTCTACAATGTGAGAAAGGTACTTGATGAATTTAAATTTAAGTTTAAATTACAAAACTTTTATATTTAAAACATCTGTAAAATCCTGTCTTTACAGGTCGATACTCATGTTCATGCCTCAACTTGCATGAACCAAAAACACCTGCTGAGGTTTATTAAGAAAAAAATGAGAACTCACAATGACGTTGTGGTCTGTAAGGATGATCAAGGCAAAGAAATGACATTGGAAAATGTGATATCTATGTTATGACTATGTAAAACTTTTTTTCAAATAACACTTTGTTTGCAGGTATTTAAAAGTTTGAATCTCACATCTTATGATTTAAGCGTTGACATGCTGGATGTGCATGCGGTATGTTATTATTAAGTGAATCTAAATTCAAAACAGTTCGATTGAAACTTATTTGAAAATATAAATGCAGGATAGAAACACTTTTCACAGATTCGACAAATTTAATTCCAAATATAACCCAGTCGGTGAAAGCAGATTCAGGGAGATTTTTATAGAAACTGATAACATAATGGAAGGAAAGTTCTTTGCTGAATTGTTAAAAGTATTTAATAGCTGTAAACTTTTTTAGAGTTCAATTTAATAACTTTTACTACATTAAAAAGGAAGTGATAAATGATCTGGAAGAAAATAAACATCAAAATGCAGAGTACAGACTTTCAATTTATGGCTTGTCAATTAATGAATGGGACAAATTGGCTAAGTGGGCAGTTAATAACAATTTGTACTCTGACAACGTTCGTTGGTTGATACAGGTTCCGAGATTATAGTAAGTTAATTTAGCATAACTTTGGAAAAAAATAATACTACCCAAATGTTTTGTTAGTGATGTCTACAAGTTAAATGGCATCATTGGAGACTTTAAAGAATTTTTGCAGAATTTATTTCTTCCTTTGTTTGAAGCAACACTTTATCCATCGGAACATCAAGAACTTCACATGTTTTTAAAATATGTTAGTACCCTAAATATAAAATATATTTAGTTTACATCTGCTAGATTACATCAAACGGTTATCAAATATTTTGACAAAGGTTGTCGGCTTTGATTCAGTTGATGATGAATCTAAACCAGAATCATCCCAACCTGAAGCTTGTCATGTTTCACCCGAGAATTGGAACTACCCAGAAAATCCACATTATTCTTATTACTTATATTACATGTTCAGCAATATGGTTGTTCTAAATAACCTTAGAAAGTAAGTTTAAATAAACTTTTGGATTTTTTTCATTTCAATTAAGAAACTGATCTATTGAATATTTGTAGGGAAAATGGCATGAACACATTTGTGCTAAGGCCGCACAGTGGAGAAGCAGGCTCTGTCCACCATCTTGTTTCAGCATTTATGACTTCTCATAACATATCACATGGTCTGATGCTGAGAAAAGTATTCCAATTTCTAACATTACTTCACTATCAATGAAAACCTTAGCTTGTACAGCTGATATATTTTTTTACAAACAAATTTCATTGGTGACCAATTATGCAAAGCACAGTAAAAAATGGTTCCAGTATTGTAGGCAAGTCCGACCCATAACGGATGGAGACTATAAACGAAAATTGATTGATATTGTAGGCAAATCACGTTGAGGCACATCTATAAGATAAAATGGAAATAAGTAGCGTCAAATCTAGAATTATATTTAAAATTATGAAAGTAGAGTCTAAAAAAATGATGTTATTATTATTTAAATTTATGCAGGCACCTGTACTTCAGTACTTATTTTATTTGTGTCAAGTAGGCATTGCAATGTCTCCATTAAGCAACAACTCCCTCTTTCTCAACTATCACCGCAATCCACTAGCCGAGTTTCTTGGCAGGGGTCTTTTGATCTCTCTTTCAACTGACGACCCACTACAGTTTCATTTTACCAAGGTTTCTTAACATTTTAACATTTACTGGTATTGAATAAGCATGAGGATAAATTTTAAATTATCTGTGCACACATATTCATTGAAATTTAAACAGAAAATTCATAAATCACAGCAAATCAGTGTTTCTTTCATTGTTCCGTTCACAATTCTTTCATTGAGTTGAGTGAACACATAATAACAATGTGTCATCACAGGAGCCATTAATGGAAGAGTACAGTATAGCAGCCCAGGTCTGGAAAATGAGTAGTGTAGATATGTGTGAATTGGCCAGAAACAGTGTTCTGATGAGTGGATTCCCACATAAGGTTGCGCTTTGTCATAAAATCAAAAATATTCACACTAAAAATTCTTTCTACACATTTCCAATCAGTTGATATCTAATATTTACATTTTGTAACCACAATAGCTCATGTCTGCTGACAATAAAATTTCAGGTGAAGCAGCACTGGATTGGTAAAAACTATCAGAACCCTGGACCCCATGGCAATGACTTGCACAAAACTAACGTACCAGACACAAGGGTCAGGTTCAGGCATGAAACACTGATTCAAGAACTACTCACCTTGTTTGAAACATTTAATAAAATATAAACTTAACAACTTTAATGAATCAGTCATCGTATAAAAAGTTTCTTGTTATATTAGTTTTTTAATAATTTTAGAATAACATCCTTCGCTTGTACCTAGTAATTTAACATTTTGTTTTCAATTTATAACAAGAAAACTATTTTTGAAAAAAATTAGCAATAGTTCTTATCAAATGTTCAATACAAATTCGTTCTGTAAACATAACGACTTCTTAAATTTTTACCACCTGGAACCACCACCACCTCCCCTGCTTCTTCCTCTGGCACCACCTCTTCCACCTCTTGGTCCACCTCTGCCACGACCTCTTGGACCACCACGACCTCTCATGCCCCCTGAAATGTGAACATCAATCTCAAATATACTGAGTTTTTGCATTTTATGATTAACCAAAATTCACATACTAAATGAAAAACAGAAGTTGAAAATGCAATTAGTTGTGATAAGGGCATTGCTATTTAAGATTAGCGTCATCCAGACTTTTCATATGATGACCAATGCATAACACAACACCATAAAGCTTTGTTAAATTGTAAAGATTGTTTATAAAACTATTCAAATTTTTAAAGAAATATATTTTGCTGCAATAGTTGAATCAACAATCTTTGCAAGGGTTGGAGTGATTTCTGATCCACTGTATATATTTCCATATTAAGCTCATGAGACAGTATAATACCACAGCTTAAATCTGAATAGTCATGGCATTTAATATTTTTATCATATTTCTTGACTGGGTTTTTAATGACTTTTCAACTTTTGTGATGGATTCAGTTGTTCAAAATTTAGTTTCAATGACATTTTGCTGGGATAGTAAAGGTAACAATTTTCACAAAAGTTAGCGTAAACTGATTAACTTTATACATTATTACATTTATCTTATGAGGTAAAATTATCAGACAAGCAGCATAGGTATATATATATTTTCTTAGCATATGATATTTCTATCACATATTTCAACTTGACTGAATTTTGTATGACTTTTCAACGTGACAATTTCAGTTGTACAGTATTTAGATTCTTTGACACAAACTAGTCTATTCATAGAAAATATTGGAGATGTAGGCAATTTGATAATAAGATATGAAAAGTTTTGATGATCTATTTATAAAACATTCCAAAATACTATTTTTGGAATGGTCGCCCTTAGAAATTTTAATAAAAATTGACCATTGGTGCGCAGCATAACAAAATAAGAATATATAATTATTTTGGATACAGGAAAACAAAATAAGAATATTAATTTGAAATAAACAAAGACAATTAAGCAAAAAACATGTTACTCATCCCTAGTCCTAAAATCAGAAATTTTGAATGTGCAATTATAACCGATAACTCAGTGGCTGACACTGTTGTAGCCATTTGAATACATTAATTATATGGTCTGATGTAAAAACATAATTTTAACCTAAAAATAAATAATTAAAATTTAGCTGCCGTATTATTTATGAATTCAAATATCTATGAAACGGCTTTACAGCAAGCCAGATCATAATTTGAATCGTCAGCTTCATGCAAATGATAGTAAAGAAATGCAGAATATACAGAAACAAACCTGATCCTCGCCCTCTCCCTCTACCCTTGGGTGTGTCATCAATCAGTAGAGTATCTAATGGCAAACTGTCAGGCAGAATGTAATATCGAATGTTATTGCCACGAATGCTTAAAGTTTCTAATGGCACCGGATCTTTATTCTTAGCCGTCATCTTTACAGATTTCAAATGTGTGTTCATACTTACATCAACTCCTATTGAAAAATATAAAACAAGTAAGGTTTAATAAAATATAGTGGACGAATATTGAAAAATTATTTACCATTTTAAATTACAAGTTACCAATGTACATTAAAAAAGTCTTCAATGACATAAGACAATGACTAAATATTTTTGGTTAAAACTTTTTGAATAGGAATATTAAAATTAATTTCTTTTAAATGTATTATGAAAATTTGAAATTCAATGACAAACTCATTTATAATAAATTTGATGGTTTAATGCAACCAAAATGAAAAACATTTTATTCATATGAACTATCAAAAAACTAGTACATCCTTCATTGAAACTTTTGGTAAAGATATGTAAATTGATTAGCCAAATGTTTTTTTACCAGTTTAAAACCTTAAAATAGTTATTTCCATTGTGTGAAAGCTATTTGCTAAATGCCAGTTTGGCTATCTTTTAGATTGGTATAATGGTATTGCAAATATGAATACAAATGTTGTAAACTGTTGTGTTTTGTCTCTTAGTCTCAAGGAGATAATCATATATTGGCTGTCTTGAGAGTGGCTGCATTTGATTTCACTCCGTATTTTTTCATATTTTCTTGTTCAAAACTAGGAAATTTACTTCAATTTTGGCTTCATTTGACGGGAAAATCAAGGAAAGTAAATTTGTGTTTTATTTTCCTGATTATATGGTTTTTGTTTTTGTATCATGTGTTGTTGTTGGCTTCATGTTAGGCCATTGTTTTTGGTTGATTTGCTTTGCACGTTAGCAGTTGGTGCAACATGTCGAATAAAGAGAAATGTATAAAGTGTTTGAAAGTTATGAAAGAAGATACACAAGCACAGTGTAAAGAAGGTTTAATGCTGCAGTGTGAACGTGTTATGCATAATAAGTGTGTTGAAATACCTGATGAATATGTAAATGCAATGGCTGCATGTAAAAATTTGAAATATATATATGATGGCTGTCTAAAAATGAATAATGACTACTTTCATGCGATGTCTGAGGTTGTTAATGATAACCAAATTATGGTGAAAAATGAAATTGAAAATATTCATGCATTGAATAAAGAGTTGTCCGAAGACATTAATAAGATTAAGGAAATTGTTGATTGCTCTGATAAAAATTTCTAATTGACTTGACTTAATTGTGCTGCCACAGGAAATGTGTTTTTCTAATTGTTGTGTATATCCAAGTGAGATATACTCCAATCACAGTCTTGTGCCAGTTTTGCTGCCTATTCGAGTTGCGAACAAAAAAATTATTAAAAAACAGATCCGATCCTGGAATCATGTTGATACAGATATTTTTATATATATGATAAAAATTCACTAATTAATGATTTTAAGCATGATGATGTTGATGAAGCGGCATTCTTATTTTATCGAGAGTTGCAAATTGTGGCTGCTAAGCTTGCGCCATTGCATGAAATTAAGATAAAAAATGTAGTCACAGCACCATGATATGATAGGCAATGCAGAGAATTAAATCACGCTTGTAGAAAATTTGAACTGAAGTTTAAAAAACAAATAGGTGATGATGATAAAAAGCAATGGATTGATTCATTGAAAAACAAAAATAAAATTTTTGCGCTAAGAAAAGAGTTGTTTTGGACTAGTGTAATTAAAGCAAATAAAAATGATATTAAGAAACTATGGCAAAATATTAATAGGATTTTATGCGAGAAGACTGCTGAGTGCTGATGTCTCAATAGTTATACTAGTAGCTGAGAATTTTGTTAAATATTTTAGGAACAAAATTCTGGATATTAAGAAAACAATAAAGGTTCATAGCAATCCCGCCTTTATTGTGAACAAAATTGACTCACATATTTTTTTATAGATTTTGCCCAGTGCTCTTATGCTTGTGTTAGATAGATTGCTGCTAGTTCTGCATCTGCAACCTGTGGGCTTGACTATATACCCACTATGATGCTTAAAAAGCATATTGATTTATTTTTGCCATATCTAACAGACTTAATTAACCTATGCTTTTCTACTGGCAAACTTCCTTCTGCGTTTAAGCATGCAGTAGTGAAACGACTCCTTAAACATCAGTCAAATAATGTTGATGACTTCAAAAGTTATCGACCGGTGTCAAATTTGTCGACTGTGTCAAAGGTAGTTGAAAAAGTTATGGCAAACCAGTTTGTTGATTATTTACATGATAATAATCTTCTTCCGGGTTGCCAGTCTGGATATAGAAAGTTTCACTCAGTTGAAACAGCACTTTTGCAGTTAGTTAAAGGTTGCCCTCTCTTTTGCGGTTGCTTCAGAAGTCTCAACGACAAACACACGCACCATACATGAATACGTGTGAAAATCACACATCATACACAGTGCATATGATAGACGGGGATCTCTTTTTATTCGAAGAGATGTATCTGTATGAGTCATCTGATACCAAAAATATATCTTTTCTGGCTCCACTATGGCTCTAAATGGCTCATATCAATGAGTGTGGCATTTGATTGCGTCCTACCTTAGTGAGAGATCCCAGCAGGTGTTTTTAATGATGTACTTTCTACCAAGAAATATCTGGAATATGGTGTACCGCAGGGGTCCGTTCTTGGTCCTATTTTGTTTCTTCTGTACACTGCGAATGTGTTTGAAATTGTTAACAGATACGGTTTTAAGAGTTTTGCTTGTGTGGATAATATCTAGATTATAGTAAAAACTGGGCCTGAAATGCTTGGATCGGTTGAAGATCAACTGACAAATTGTTTGTTTGACATAGATGTTTGGTATTCAGATGAACCAAACTAAAACACAAATTTTACCGATAAGCACCTGATAGATAGAATTATTTTTAAATTATGTGCATTAATTTATAAGTCTTTGAATAATGTGCACCACAAACTATGATCAACTTGTTTGCTAATGATAGAACAAAAATTATCAAAATATGAATTAAGGCCTGTTGATTCAAATTTTTTGAGTCAAACCTCAAGATTGGATCTTGAAGCTTTGCTGTGGTTGGACCACGGTTGTGAAATAGCCTTCCAAACACTTTGCAGTGGTGATTTTGCTCTAAGTCAATTTAAGAGACAGCTGAAAACCTCTCTGTTCAGCCCTTAATTTTAATAGCATTTAATATATTGAAGCGCCTGTGACGATTGTTTTTTCAAACGGGTGCTGTATTATAAATGCAATGAATAATAATAATAACGAAACTTCATTATGATTATAACATTATATTATAGATTATATTCTAACCTGTAACAGGAAAACAATTTTACAAACCTGTAATGGTTCCATGGACTTGAGTACCATTTTTCAGTTCAATCGTCACAGTCTCGTGACTAAGTTTCATTAAAAATCTGAAAATTTAACAAGAAAGTAGTTACCGGAATGAGCGATAATTGCCAAAGCACAATTGACTTCATTAAAAAAAATGAAACTTGCAAAAAATAACGAAAAATAGCGCACCGCAATAAAAATTAAATATTTTAGAAAACTAAATAAATGAAGCAAAAAATTTACTACCTGACTAATTTCATGATTTTATCGGATTAAATTCCAAATGAATATATCAAAAGAAAACTTAAAAAGCGGTTAACAGCCAAAGAGCGTACACAGTCGGTTCAGTTGTCACCATATACCATGCCATATAAATAAAATATTGTCACTGAACATTTATTCAAAAATTTTAATAATTTATATTTTATGGTGTTTTAATAAAAATTGCAATAAATCAAAATAATAATTCAAATGAAAATAAACCCACTTTATAAAGATTTAAAAATTGGAGTAATGTTAAAAGTGAACCATGACAACACACTTAATTCAAAATGGATGACTTGCTGAATGTTAAGTGTTTTGTTTTAGTTTCAGTTTTAATAATTTGTTCGGTTAGTGTTAGTTCGACTGCGCTTGCTGATCAGTTTCACGAAGAACTTTTTATTAAGACATTACCAACAGGACAGTTATACAATCATTTTCGGTTTACGACTATATGGAATGTTTCCTTGAACTCCAGCCAATCAAAGCATTACAGGTTGTTTCCAAGAGCCCTTGGAGAAGTTTTTGAAACATTTTCTGTGAAAGAGTTGTCTCTTAGTTTTACTCAAGGTCGATGGCGACACGAATCTTGGGGTTATCCGGTATTAGATGCGTCAAAAGGAGCTGAATTGTTAGTTTGGTTTTCTGCTCAAAAAACTAAAATTGATTCAGCCTGGTCAGAGTTAGTCAATGTTCTCTCAGGAATGTTTTGTGCTTCCCTAAATTTTATGGATGTGAAAACAACGGTGACCCCAAAGTTAAATTTCAGGCCAACAGGTTATGTAACAGAAAATTACAAAAAGTATTTTTCTAACCACGTGCGTTATGCAGTTTTGTCTAATGAAAATGTCTGTACAGAAAATTTGACACCGTGGAAAAAATTATTGCCATGTGGTTTTAGAGCAGGTTTATCGACGTTGCTGAATGCTTTTAAACTTTATGATTCATCTTACCATTCTCTCAATGTTCAGTTCAGGCATGTTTGCTTAAACGAGGTATGTGATGTTGTTGGTCTGCAGCTCACTCAATCTTTGGGAGTTGTTTTTGACCCAATTGTCAATTTAGGTTCCCAACTCAATAAACCAGATTGGTCATTAAAAAAGTATTTTGGTAGAAAATTGAGCCTTTAAAAATATTCTATCAACCTGGAAAAGACAATGGTAGGCCGTATCATTTAGAAGTTTTGTTCAACTTACCAGCTAATTCTGTGGCTAGGTTGAGTTTTCAATTTGAAAAACAGTTACTGAAATGGACTGATTATCCTCCTGATCCAAACCATGGTTTTTATATTGCACCATCAGTTATAAATTTCATTTTGCCCAATGCTGGAAACATAACTTCATTGAAAAACAACAAACATTTTTTTACTGGCTTGAAAAACAGCAATAAAAATGATGCTTATACATTCACGTTACACACTGAAGCGCTTCTCATCACATTACCAACTCCAGATTTCAGCATGCCTTACAATGTTATCTGTCTCGTTTGCACTGTTATAGCCATTGCTTTTGGATCTGTTCATAACTTAACTACAAAAAGTTTTGTGATGTATGATCCACAAAAACACAAAAACATTTTCAGAAAACTGAAAGATAAATTTTGGAAAAAGAAAGAAAAACTTTCGTGAATTTGTGTTTTTCTACTTTTATGATCAAAAATTGTTTGATTTTGTTTCAAACTATATGTATTTATAATACATTCCAAAACTTGTTTTTAAATTGTATTGCGTTGGTTTTTATATTTTTCGTTGAGTGAGCTTGTAATAAAATCATTTTGTTTTGTTTCCGTCGAAAGCTCATAGAATTGTTTTACAATTACCAGGGGCAGATCTAGACAACGTTAAAACTGCCAAAATTTTTGCTTACCGCTCAAATTTTTTGGCCAATTTTGTACCTAAAACCCCTTTTCCGTGTGTAAAAACCGAGTTTAAAAACTGAGTTATAATAATTTAGTAATAGTGAGTACTACTTAAATAAAATTTCAAGCTATTTTTAATCGCTTTCCGTTATCCGTGTTAATTCTCAGTTAATTAAGTATCTCTCTACAATAACTTGTGATGCTTCACAAATGTTTACGTTATCCGGTACATTTGCATAAGCGTTAAGTAAACTTATTATTATGGAAAATCATCTGAGGTCTTCCATGGCAGATGGTGATTATTTGTCCACGATAACGATAGTTGCACATAGTTGAAACCAAAATTGTGTCGATGGCACCCTGGTGTGACAGCAGTAGCAGAAACTTGAAACGGGAATGAGAAAATATAAAAAGCGTAATCGAACAAAAGACAAAAAAAATTGGGTTGAATTAATAAAGCTTAAAAATAAAAGTTTTTCTGAAAAGAAAAGAATTGTTTTGGAATAAATTAGTTTTAATAAAAAGGATGAGAACTCTAAAAAAATATGAAAAAGATTAAATAAAATTTTATGCAATATAACGTCAAATGATTTTACAGCTATTATTTTGCAGATTTTTTCATCAACAAAATTGTAAAAATTAGGGAAAACATTGTAAGTGCCGATGACGTAAATTCAATATTGATCTAAAATTTCAGAGTTTTTGCAAGTGTCTAAATCTGAAGTTAGAGCCATGGACAAGTTAATTTTCCAGACCAGGTATTATTTCGATCAATAGTAGATTTTCAGCTTTCACAAAAATGTTGTGAAAGTCATTATTGTCATTTTGTCGATAATTGTTTAAAATTAGCGCCATGTCAGAAACTTGTTCAATACACTGAAGAGTATTTATATGCAGATTCTGAAGAGCTTTCGAAATAGGTAAAATTAACGTACTGAAACGAGCACATACACACAAAGATATTACAAATTTTGATTGAATAATAGCGACTAAAAGCTGTTCTGCTTTACTAGCGGCATTTGCATCATTCCAATTATCAATTTCTTCCAGTGTGTCTTTGATTGTCGTATATAATTCAACAAATTTTATTGTGACTTTATGATGTTTCACCCATCACGTGTCACATAATCCTGTTAGTTTCTGATGATTACTACCAGACTCTAAAGAACTTTCAAGATTTTTTGAAAAACGTGAGCTCTCTTTGATGATTCACAAATAAAGTTAATTGTCTGCTTGATTGTACTTATACAATTTGTGATTTCTTGAATTTTGTATGCATGTACTTATACTAGATTTAAAACAAGGGATGCACAATATGTGTACAGAGCTTTTGGGTACATGTTTCTTACATGGGCTTGCATTCCATTTATTTTTCCTGCCATTAAACCACACCTGTGGTATTTTGAACTTCTTGAAAACCAATAAAGCATTCATGAATATAGTCATCTTTAACAAATCTTAAAATAATTGTCATCTGTTCTTTAATAGAAAAATCAGTAGTTCCATCACAAAGCACAGAAAAGAATCTATCAGCATTGACGTTATTTACAACATTTTTCCTCATTAAATAATGAGTTGTTTATATATCAATAAATCAATTTATATTTTTATTATTCATATATCAATTGTTTAATAATTTCATTTTGTATCTTCCAACTTAGATAGGTTTGTGAACTTGAAGTTGTTTGCAGATGCCATTTTAGATTTTCATCGTCAGCTAATAAACGTAGCCTTAGGCATGCTCAGAAATCTTCATTGTTCTCATCTGGTTCTTTGGTGGAAAGTGGTCCTGAATCGCGATGACCACGTAATGCAATTCCTTGCTTTCCACAATGACGCACTGTTTCTACAATAGGTATTAACCGTCTGCGGTTTTCTTCAATCTGCATTTGCCACCCATTATGCAATTGCGTTTCAATACCACTAGACCTTCGGAAATTTTCACACAGTTCTGATGATACGGCTGATATTTATTTACTTTTGTGATTTGGATAGGTTTTCAAAAGCTTCGGTGTAAATATTTTTCAACTTTGTATGTTTTTCAGCGTTACTTGCGTCTTGAAAATTACGAAAGATAATAATCAAACAATAGTAACTTATTGGTATAAGATATTACTTATTGGTATTTGGCAACAGACTTCTAGAATTAATCTTGATTGTGTAAACATAGGTAACAATTAGATTTAAAAAAATCTGCAACCGTGTTGGGTGTTTTGTTAAAATTGATAAAAATTTACGTATGAGTGATCATGCAATCACTGGTCAAATCTTGCTTTTTCTAAATACGTCAATTAAAAGAATGAAAGCGTGTCTGAATAGACCAACCTTAGTTACCCTTATTCATTCATTTGTGCACTCCCTCCTGGTCTGGTTTTGCTGCACAACAACTTCAGCAATTACAATCTCTCATCAAAAAACTAATCCGCTTATATCTACCTGCATCATACCCTACCGTCACTCAGATATTCAACACACTTGATTCAAGACTGCTCAAGAAAGTAGAAAATAACAACAACCACGTCATCCATCCTTTATTTTTTAAGTATGCGGACCAAAACTTTCGAATGATCTTCCACACTTTTTGCGTCAGTCTAACCTATCACTACTACAATTCAAGAAACAATTAAAGACTTACCTTTTTTGTTGTGATTATTAACGTTTTCAATAAACTTTTTTTCGTTTCAAATGTTAACATTAACATTTAACATTTTTTTCTTTTTATTTGTACTAACTAGAAATATTAAAATTGTTTTTGTAAGAGCGCCTGTGAGAAGACCTTTAATGGGCGCTTATAAATAAACTTATAATAATAATACCTACGATTAAAGATATCGGGTTCATATTCTTTATATATAGAATAAAAATCAACAAAAATTTGGCCAAGGTAATTTTCGCCTCTAAAACACGTATTAGGGCTCCTGTTGGCAATGGCACTGTAGTCATAAGCCAATGCAGTTGGTTGCATAAACAAATAAATAGCAAGGTCCTTTGTTGTTAAAAAATGTAATGAACACGCACAAAGAAGATAAGCTAGGATGTTCATGGTTAGCATGGGCTACGAAGTTTACCATCTGCCTACAGTACAAATTGGGATATGAAATAATATGCGCAGAAACAACTAATAACTTTAAGCAAACTTAGCATAAAAAGATATTAAAAGAAGTCTCAGAGTGGTCCTGTCACAGACTCAAGTCTTCTTGGATCACTATAAAAATCCTTGTACCGTTATGTTATTTTAACATGAAAACGTACATATCGCATTTTATTCTACATGACATTGCAAATAAAAATTACATATCGTATTTTATTCTACATGACATTGCATATAAAAATTCAAGGTGACGATAGGTAAAAACAAATTTTTCTGATTTACATTAAAATTTATTATGCAATAAACAAAAAATTTTATTTTAACAATATATAAGAAAAAAAATTGCCAAGTTTTTTCCATACTTTTATTACCGGCAACGCTGGCTTGTTTTTATTTACGCTTCACTTCATTTTTCGAAAAACGTGATCACGTTGAGCTAAAGCTGAAGAGACTCGATACTCGGGTTATCCTGTGGTTCTTCGTTTCATTTCATTTATTGATCCACTAAGCTATTTGCAAAATGTCTGGACGTGAGGGTTTGTGTTTTTCAAATTTAAAGATTTTTATATATTTTTTATTAATTTATTTAATAAAATTTGATAAACAAGCCAAATAAGACCAAATTACAACCTGAAAACTATAGACCAATATCCTTAACTTGTTGCACCTGTAAAATAATGGGAAAAATAATTAATAAAAGATTAAATTGGTATCTGAAAACAAATAAAATAATATCAAACTCTCAATGTGGTGGAATTAAATTAAAGGAAGATCTACATTAGATAACATACTATATCTAGAAACCCATGTCAGACAAGCTTTAATTAAACAACAATGAACAGGTGATAACAATCTTTTTAGACATAGAAAAAGCTTATGATAAAGCCTGGAGGTATGGAATTACTAGAGTAATTCCAGGATTAAGAGGAAACCTACCCAAATTTATTCAAAACTTTTTAATAAACTAATCCTTTCAAGTAAAAATTAATAATATATTTTCTGAAGTAATGCATTCAGAGTTAGGCATCCCTCAAGGAAGCATTTTGTCACCAAAACTGTTTTGCTTACTCTTGGGTGGCATAACAAGTATAATTCCAAAAAAAGCAATAGCTTCACTATATATGGATGACATAACAATAACTTTTAGAAATAAAAATATTGAAATAATGAAGGAAGAAATAAACAGATTTTTGATTTCATTAGAAAAATGGGCAATTGAACATGGAATAAATTTTCCAGAATCTAAAACAAAAGCCTCAAAAAAACGAAAAAAAATATACCCAAAATTAAAATTTCAAGAAAATTTCATCGAATTTACTTAGCAATATAAATATTTGGGAATAATCTTAGACTCCAAACTTAATTTTATTCCGCACATCCAACAGACCATAATAAAATGTTTAAAAGCACTCAACCTTCTAAAAGTTCTATCTCATCAGACCTGGGGTTCAGACCAAAAACACTTAAGGACAATCTATCAAGCAATGATAAGGTCAATAACAGACTATGCTAGTCCTGTCTACGGTTCAACAAGGAAATCATATCTGAAAATTCTTCAACCAATAATGAACGAGTCATTAAGAAAAGTCTTGGGAGCTTACAGAACATCGCCATCTAGCAGTTTACATGTTTTGTCTGGGGAGATGCCTTTAACATTTAGACATCAAAAGTTAGCATTG